CTGAAAGTAATGATCACTGTTTAAGCCATTTGCTGGCGATATCTGATCCTCATAAGGTCACCAGTATACCTCCAAGGAAGACTACAAGTGTTGAATGACACCAGCATCAGTGCAGGGCAAAAAATGAACCTTTGCGAAACGAAGGTAATACTTAAGTAAATGACCTAAAGATCTATTGAAGTTATTGGACTTAGGCTAGAAAAGGTGTAAAACTAAGTCTGGCTGTTTAAGGAACCTTCTTTTTACTAGAGAACCAATTGACATAGAGTACACCGAATGGAAAGTTGAAAATGTTTTTACACAGTAAATTGTGATGGTGCTTAAGCGCAAAATTTTTAATCAGTGTGCGCTCCTCTTCTAACCTGTGATGCTAAATGTGGACCTTAATCATAGTAGCTATTCATACACTGCAAACTACGCAACGCGGCATGGAAAGATGTTTGTTTGGAATAACAAGAACGGGTAGAAAGTCAAAATGAATAGGTAAGAGTACAAACAGGAGTCTGTGATATCACTGTCTGAGTGAAGAAGTGCGGTGACATTGGGCGAAACATGCTACAAGATGACCTGATCATCCATGAACCAGAGAGACATTGCACTGTGTTGCAAGACAGATAATAAACGGCCATGGGAAGACCATCAGATCGATGGCAGTATGAGATGAAGAAGTTCCGTAGATGCATATGGATCAAATCGCGGAAAATAGGCTTATGGTAAAGTCTTGGAGAATCCGTTATTCAGCAGTAGGGCGAAAAAGGCTGATGATGATGAATCGATCAGCTGTATATTTTTTGATATATAGATTTATGCTTCAAACTGCATGCTACTTGATACAAGAAGCAGCACAGAAGTATCAGTCAGAGATTACGCCGTTAGAGATGACTCTTACGTTAAAGACATGGTCTTTTTTCCGCTTGATCTTATCTTAGCGGCTGCCGTGCTGCGTTGCTTTGAAGGCGCGGTTGCCAAGTTCAATCTGGTACCTTCTTTAGAGACGACCACATGTTATAACAGCGCAGATGATCTGTCTTATAGCGTCACAGTTGATGGTCATACTACGAAAGCTGTTGGCGGACTCATTTACCTGGAAGGCACACTTATCTTCTGGATAGTGCATACCAGACGATCTGTGCAGGGTCGATGTATCGCTCTCGGCTATGTGATCACTGATGCAAACTGATGATTTTGCTCTCACCTTTAACACGTCTGTTTATCTTGTTTTGACTTAAGATTTTAACTGTGGTGAATAACCTTTAGTTTTGACTACGGTTTGTAGTCTTTTCAATCATAACAGTTGACTCCTTAGTATTTCTCTGCCACTACCTTAGAAGCTGTCAGCCGCCTTAATTAATAGTTTTTCAATACTGCTGTGATATTGTACGAGGGTTCCATGATAGATTTGCGCTAAATTTTCTCAGTGCCGCGTCTTTTATAGGAATTATGTGACATTTTTAATTCATAATGCTTTTAATAATAAATTTTTAATAGGTATCCAGGCTGATACCACCAACAATGGTAAAATTTGTTCGCAGAAGCTAAAATAATTTGGATTTGATTGAAAATAATGGTTTTACACATGCTGCTTAAGGGGCCATTGAACAGGGTTGCCGTTGGGATACCATTGAACTCATAATCGAAAGAAATCGGGTTTGAACATCTGCTGGGTCACTTGCCTTTCTTCCTTCAGAGGCTGATAACTGACTTTGTGGTAGGAAGAGAGAGACTACAGACTGTGCTTGCCGTACAGTTGCTATGGACTGTGCGTTGAAAAAAAATAAGGCACTGCTAGTTGATGTCATGGAAATGGAAATCAATTCCACGCCATTAGCGTTATGAAAAGATGAGCGTCAGATGTGTATGGAACGGTTATATACGTTCCTTTTTTTTGTTTTCATCCATCAAACTTAAGGCAGCCCCGCGATAGTCACTCTACACAAATTGAATTTTAGTAGCTGCAATTTTTCTGCCTTGCATAGATTGCCGAAGTCCGTTGTTGTCAGGGTTTGATTTTAGAGGACTAAGGAATGGATTAGATCCTTTATTGTATACAGATCACTTGTCACTTCGAAGTTCCCCGTCAGAAAAGCAGTATTCAGTAGCCTGGAAGTCATTCGATGGCCTGAGAAATCTACCTTGTGAAAAACATCTTGATGCTTTAGTTTGATTATCCATCATGTTTATCCTTGCGCGTTCTCGTGTAGTTGCTAGATCTGGGTATTTTTGATTTCACTTCCTAAGGGTTTTTTTTATAAAAGGACATCCATGTATCTTCGATGAGACTTCGCTTTCGAACAGATGTCCAGGATTGTACTAATTCCAGAATTCAAACCTTTAAGCTCTGGGTTTCTTTCCCGTTCTGCTGAAATGTGAAATTTTTAAGACATCGACGATATCGATTTTTAGGATGTTATCGGATTCGATTTTATCCCTCATGTATTTGCCTCGAAGAGACTAATGAATAACTCAATTATACGTAGTTCCTTTAAAATCTGTATAGCATAGATGTTATAGAATCTGAAGCAGTTGAGCCGTTCGTCGTCCGCCTCTCCGTTCTGCATCAACGCTCATCGGTCAGAAATTGCCTGTATGGCCATAAATCTGCAAGGAACACTGCTGGCCACCGCCTCTTCAAAAGTACGTATCTCTGCACGGTAAAAGCAACTGTCCTCATGACTACCATTGATTCTTCTTTTGCAGTTTTACGTCTCTTGAACTGTTTTACATTTTGTTTATCTCAGTTTTTTATTTATCACATAATACAGGGATAATATATACTTATTTACACGTTGTTTGGTTGAGTTCAGAGAGTATGGTGGCGGAACTTCTTGTTATCATTCATAATGCGCTGCGAGAGGTTCACGTTCGCAATTAGCCCTACAAATTACTGTATAGGTACGTTGATTAGAATGATTCATATTCCATCCATTCGGTGAGAGTTATTCTTGTAGCGGTTTTAATCTTGGGCTATTTTGATGAAATGCCTTAAGTTTTTGTTCAGACTTTTTTGTTGTCATTTTCTGTAATATGACAGCGGCATAACGTCCTCCCAACAGGGCCAGATTTTATGGCTGTTATGCAGAACAGACAAACCTTTCATTTGCAGTAATCGAACATCTTCCCTTGAGCACGCTCTCGGTGTCGCTAAAGCAAGTTGAATAATTACACCATGCCCGGAACAAGAAAAGTTCTGAATTGTCCGGCATAATATATATTTATTCCATAAATTACGTTTAATATGCGGTGATGTCAGTAACGCAACATCGAGTTTCTGGAGTATGCGTCATGGCGGAACAACTGCACTGACGCATGGTAGGTATAAACAAGTGATTCACGGTCAGTCTCTAGGTCCGCTGCATGTTAATGACTTGGTGAACTGCTTGAATTTCAGCCTATTTACTCGCTTATTATTCGTCAGTTCATTTTCATTCAGACCGATTTTGTTACATGGTCCCTGTGGTCAACAAAAAATAAATAAATCGTTCCAACAAAATGGGTCGTTTCTGCTGCACCATTTAGCACAGTAAATTTATGTTCCTTTTACAAATACTGTTGGCTAATTTCGTATGGACTTGGCGCATTTCCCTTTCAAGGAAATGTTTATGAAGCATAGTATAATAAGTTAAAATGATGTATATCTGTTGATCTCGGTGTGATAGTGATGAACGAGTTCATGGTCGCTGCCAATCAGGACCTAAAGGCTGCCAGCTAGTAGGAAGTTAAATGAATGACACTTCTCTCGAAATAGGCAGGGGGTTACATGCCGTAGTGGCCACGTATCTGTAAGTATAGCCATTAAAAGAAGAAAAGCAATAATTTGCTTATGGAATGATGACAGCAAAGGAGACTTGGGTCGCTCCACAAGGTCTACGAAAGAAGAGCCATAGCGTGCCCAACTAATAAAGGAGTAAATAAAATTAAATACCCAGTTACGAACTCGCTTTCTTTAAAATTCGCTTATTTAACATATTCCTTGCTGCAGGGAACGTTGATTAGAGTGTTCAGCATCGTCAAACGAACAAAGTTAATCGAATTTAGAAGAGGATCTGATCCGGCGAATATCTACTGGTATAATGTAAACGAAAATGCGCTGTTTCGCAGCTTTTGTTTTCTAGTATCAATTTCAATCAGGAATCTTCTTTCCTGTGCACTTCTAGCGACAAAGGAACGGTGCATGTCTTCGCCATAAAGGATCCGTCATTGAATAGACGATCAACGTACTGCAATTGTACACTATTGATTTTCATGATCAGTTAGTCTACTTAGATTCCACAAAATGGGCCTTATTGGTTCGTATGCCGATTCACAGTGGGGCTTAGTCCGGTTTCCAGATCTTTCGAACTCAGCTTGCATTTGCGGTTTTGGATCGAACTTGTCTGTTTTTGGTATCATTTTCAGTAACTGATTATGTTTTAGCAGTAACGCTGTTTTTTAAGTTGTGTCGTTGGACGGAGCTTTCCACAAATTGACGTTCACCCTTGAAGGATCGTGTAACCGTCAGTGCTTTGAACGATATCTTGGTGTTTCGGACGATGCTGAGTTTTGGAAGAGTTGATATAAAACATTGTATAGCTTTCTCTGTTAGCGTGCGTAATTATGTACATTTGTTTGCCTAACTCATTGTAATTTTGAAACGATTGTTTGCCTATTTATTGTGGTATGTAAAAAACTGGGTTATTGTTATATAATATTCTTTCATTATAAATTTTGGAGCAGTATCTATGTTCAGAAGTTCAGTGCACCGCACCAAAAAAATACGGCAATGGTGCATTTATTGAAAAGTGAATGTTCGTGATAGTTTCTTACGGTCGTGAATCTTATCCATATATATGTAATGCTGGTTAAACTGTATTTTAGTAATTATCTTTACGATCGGACCAAAAATCATATTGTGGCCTGTACTTGGGCAATATTAGAAAGGAAGTGAATTGACTGCCTTTACTTCATAATGGCTATGAAGCGATGATGGTGACTTTCTTAGTAAATGTTTAACATGAACATGTCACAAGACTGCATCATATTACGGTTGAAACTTGCTATGCTAGGGTCATTCAGTCCATTTTACAGCAGCACGCGCATTTGATGACGGACACTAGCATTATTCGCTTTCGATATTGCGTACCAATGCTGTCAATTTGTCAAAAGGTGGACAATTGTATCATGTAGGCGAGATTTGCATGAATTTGACGGACCGAAAATTTAATGCAGAGTATAAAAAACAATTTAGTTTGACGATTCAGATAACTGGTAAAAAAAGAGAAAAACAGCATAAAAGATAAAATGGACAGTCTGCTAAATGACCCACACGGCCCGTGTCTTACGGGCTTCTTTTAGTTATGTTTGTGACAGAATTTCTTTTGTCGTCTGATGCAGTTCATGGGGTTCGGAAAGAAAACACGTGTGGAGAAAGGTCTTCAATTTGCCTACAACATATATTTGATACCTGCTGGTCAGTAATACTTAAGTACAGTAAACTTTCGGTGCTCGATTGCGATTCAAAATTCAGAACATCTTTGACAGAGACATGTTATAAAAACAGAAGGAACCAACATTTAGAGGAGGCCTTGATCGTGTAAAGAGTAGCGTGGTTCTTTCGGTTATACTTTGTGGTGCAAGTTCTTCGTGTTGCACGTGTGTTGAATGATTTTCGT